ACAAAATAATGCATTCAGTGCGAGCCAGTTTTACCAATGGAATTCGCTATAGGTTATAACTTTGGGACACCACGTGATCCAACACTTATTTGCATATTATATTCAATACATCCGTGACCACGTGCTGTCCCAAAGCAAAGATTGTATGATCTTTGCCCAAAGTTAACCTGGGGGACCTACCGTTTCTGAGAACCCAATGTATACTGTGCAACGACTGTGCAACCCTCGGTGCAACCTTATTTTTGCCACACTGTAACTATTAATTCCGAGATAAGTACCATATACCTATCCGGACACGTGCTTTTATTATGTAACCCTTTATTTATTCCATCAAAAAACATAATTTTACCGATTGATCCATTATCATTGTGTTGCCAAGTATATTTTCCTTCGTGACCTATATTTTATTAGGTACGGAAAACTCCATATATGAGAGAAATAGCATTGAATGGCACAACAAACAAAATGATAGTGCAAAATAATTGGTGGATTCTAGTGCATTTTTATGACAGTCACTTTGGTTTCAATCGAGTTGGCAACGTTAACAATCAGATATAAAACTAAAACCTGTGTGTATAAGCTGATTAAATGTTCGCTGATATCTATAATGTCTATGAACAGTGGCGCCGCATTATTTTTTCTAGCGGGCGCCGCAACGTGGACAGAGTGCAGACATTACTAAGTTTAAATCAAAAAACAAGTTGAGACAAATCCTAGGTAATCGGATTTTATCCATGCTGAATATTTTAGTTCTCCAATTCAGACATAGCTTAGGAACCTTGTGATTCAATTTTATCTATTCACATAACTACGCATAACTAGAATGGTATTTAGCGCTAAATGATCGATTAATCACGGCTTGATGATCTGTAATTCACGAGGTAATTTATTCAAAAAAATGAACACGTTACCATGGCAACAAAATTTCTTGAAAACATTACCATGGCAACAGAGTTTTTAGTGTTTCACACGAGACCAACGAGACGAGAGTTTCATAAAGTCTCGTCTCGTCTCGCCGATGAAATATGAAGTCTTGTCTCGAGTCTCGTCTCGCAGCCCCGAGTCTCGTCTTGTCTCGCGTCTCGTACGAGAGTCTCGCAAATGTATCGCAATTTCATCATGCATAATCTTGTTCCAGTCTAGTACGGGATATTAACCTTAACCTACTTTTTAGGTATGATGTAGAAGTAGGAAGAGAAAGTTACAACAAAAATAACATCATTTGCTGAGAAGTAAGTACGTAATAGGTACATACTTACATCATACATCTAAACAAAAAAAACATAGCATTATATATTCGAAAGTTATAGAAATAAAATAAAAAGTAGCACGTATATTCTGTATATTCTAAACAAATAAACAAAACAAAAACTTTAATCCAACATTATTTTGCTCATTTGAGAAATAGGTATCTAAGAAAGCAGTCATTTGTCTTACTAGGCAGAAAAATTCTAATGAAATTAGATATCAAATTTGACCCTGACATTGGGTGAACACAAAATGATGGAGTTTTTAATGAAAAAATCACACAAAATTGGTTTAGTATCAGTTGGAGAAAAAATTCTATGTTCACACGGCAGCTAATGTAGATTGACTGCCGTGGCTGACAGTTCATAGCCGAGCGTAGCGAGGAAATCAATTTCGATAACTTATTTCATTAGAATTTCTTGGAACGTTGCATAGCACAAACTTTTTCTGCCTAGGCAGTAAAAGTACACCTTTTCTGCCTGTTAAGCGGCAGGAAAAAATCACTATCCCTGTCGCTTGGAGAAAAACCTCTATCACTCAGATCAGCCTTCACGATCGCAAATGTTTTTGTTTTTCACCCAGTCGTTAAGACATAACAAACATCGTGCAGATACATTATTGAGGCGATTCCGATGTTTTCTTATAGAACTCTTTCTAAATGTTTTATTATGAATGAAATTCTCAAGTCTGCAGTCGGCACGCAGAAATATTTACCTGCGAGACTGTCGCACGAGACACGAGAAGTCTTGCATGAGACTCGAGACGAGACCAATAAAAGTCTCGTCTCGTCTTGTCCGAGTCTTGTCTCGAAAAGGAGACGAGACCATGCGAGACTCTCGAAAACGAGACTCTCGCGGGCACCACTAAGAGTTTTTTAAACACACACACCTTCAATCGTCCGAGTCCTGTCCGCCCTGTCAATTGTAGGAACTGTCAACTGTCATTTTCGAATTTCGTTGCAATCAGAATTATTCAAACAATTTCAGTTTGTATCAGAATTCTTCAACGAAAGTATGCGAAATGTTGACGAAAGTGAAATCGAACAGAATTTTTTTAGTTAGGTACTTGCATATTGCCAAGAACTATAGGTAAAAATTAAGCTCTCATCTTTGTGGGCAATTCATTCTATGCTTAGCATGACAGTAAACGTAAAACACAATATTCATGTGAGCAAAATTATGCAATCAGAATATGGATCCTAAAACCTGAGATACCGAAAACTTTGATACCTCAGCAAATCGAAGAGTTTTTATCTACTACGTCAAATAGAATCTTATTCACAAAGGTCATTAAACAAGCCATTCCATGTATCCTATGGACTGGACGCACATCTTCAACCAATATAACTTATACATGTTAACTAATTTTTGGAATTATGAGATCTTATCGAAGAGAGGAATTATGAGTTCGTAGTAAAGGTATAGTTTGTAACGCGTTGAACTCTTCTGGACATTCGTTTATGCTCTGCTCTGCTGCGTCCGTGCTTAAAATACTCGTTACTAACATGACTGTGAGTACGCGGAAACGGTTCAAAATATATTGCCAATAAATTCTGTGACAAAATTGTATACATATTGAGAAACAGGTAAGTAACGACTCTGGAATCACAGACAAAAATCATGGCACTAGATAAATTGACGATGATTCTTCTACAATGACGTTTATAACACTTCTACATAATAAACTATCACTCTTCTAGTTACTAGTCTGAAAACATAGTCAGGTGATGTGATAGACAAAAGTAAAACTTTCTGGGGAAATATAATTTGCTGACCAAAATTATTGAAGTATGCTGAACAAGCATTTATGGTTCGAATTTTTTCGTCAAATTGCATACTTGAATATTCTATATGAATATATAGATGCCACCAGTAAAATAATTCCGATCCACCCCTTCAGAGGAGTAGTTTATTCTTGTAGTTTTTCAAAAATCCTTGCTGACCGAGCATTTCTGGTTCTTATTTTTCCACCAAATTACTTACATATTTGAATATCTCATATAGATTTATAGATGCCACCAGTGAAATCATCTCTATCTACCCCTTTATAGGGGCAGTTTATTCTCGCAGTTTTTCAAAAATCCTTGCTGACCGAGCATTTCTGGCTCGTATCTTCCACCAAATTACGTATTTGAATATCTCATATAGATTTATAGATGCCACCAGTGGAATTATCTTGATCCACCCCTTTAGAGGGGTCATTTATTCTTGCTGTTTTTCGAAAATTCTTGCTAACCGACCATTCTGGTCCGTATTTTTTTCATCAAATCACCCCCTGAAGGGGTGGATCGAAATAATTCCACTGGTGGCATCCATAAATCTATATGAGATATCCAAATATGTAATTTGATGGAAAAATACAAACCAGAAATGCTCGGTCAGCATGGATTTTTGAAAAACTGCAAGAATAAACTACCCCTTTGAAGGGGTGTATCAAAATATTTCTACTGGTGGCATCTATAAATCTATATGAGATATTCAAATATGTAATTTGGTGGGCAAATACGAACCAGAAATGCTCGGTCAGCAAGGGATTTTGAAAAACTGCAAGAATGAACTACCCCTCTGAAAGGGTGGATCGAGATAAATCTACTGGTGGCATCTATAAATCTACATGAAATATCCAAATATGTAATTTGATGAATAAATACGAACCAGAAATGCTCGGTCAGCAAGGAATTTTGAGAAACTGCAAGAATAAACTACCCCTCTGAAAGGGTGAATCGAAATAATTTCACTGGTGGCATCTGTATATTTATATAAGATATTCAAATATACAATTTGAGGGGAAAATTCGAATCAGAAATGCTCGGTCAGCAAGGATTTTTGAAAAACTACAAGAATGAACTTCCCTCGGAACTTCCATTCTGAAAAGGTGGATCGAAATAATTCTACTAGTGGGATCTATACATCTATATGAGACATTCAAGAATGTAATTTGATGAATAAATACGAACCAGAAATGCTCGGTCAGCAAGGAATTTTTGAAAAACTGCAAAAATAAACTACCACTCAGAAAGGGTAGATCGAAATAATTTCACTGGTGGCATCTATATATTTATATAAGATATTCAAATATGCAATTTGAAGGGAAATTCGAATCAGCAATGCTCGGTCAGCAAGGAATTTTGAAAAACTGCAAGAATTAACTACCCTTCTGAAAAGGTGGATCGAAATAATTCCACTGGTGGCATCGATATATCTATATAAGAGATTCAAATATGCAATTTGAAGAGAAAATTCAAATCAGAAATGCTCGGTCAACATCGAGGTCAACATACTTCAATTTTGGTCAGCAAAATATACACCTCCAAATTCTCTCGAGGAAAACCCGAGGGAAAACCATTTGAACTCGCAATGTTAGTAATTAGTCTGAGGAGAGAAGGACCGGCGGGGGGGGACGCTGCTCTGATAGCGCCGCCTATGCTTCCAAAGTGGGCGACGGTTTGATCGACTCGACTAGCGAACGAGTGACGTCACTATCTAGTAAATTTATATTTACGGCGGCAACTCGACAAGGAGAACGAGATCATTCACGACGGTGGAGCCACGACGGTTGCGGATTTTTTGCTTCACAATGGGCAGATTCTCGTCCATTCAGGTTTCACAGCCCTTCGTCCGATAACACCCTGTGTGTGAGTGTGTGTTACGTCACTGGCGATATAACGTGTGGTGCGGTCCGGTGGGCTAGTGGGTTTTTGGTGCGGGACTGGATTTTTCGTTTGTTTTTGTTGTTTTTTTTAATTTTGGACAATGAGCACCACGACAGAAGTGACCAAGCTGCAACCTCGATCTAGAAAAATTAGCGCGGTGAGTTCTGGAAAGTGTGGAAAATTGAGGGAAAATCTAATGAAGATTATAGTGTTCTCACCTACTTACGTTGTGGTTTTAGACTTTGGATTTATGTCAATTGGAATCGAGCTTGGAACTTTGAAATCCAATCAGTACACATATTATTTCAATTCATTTCAATGTATATAAAATGTATATATATGCTCATAATTCGAGTCAAAATTCAAACCTATACGTACGTTTTTGTCGATAATCCCAGACAATAGACCGATCCAACAACCAAAATCCCATTAGTTTCCTAATTACCTATTACATAAGTATATTCAACTATGGATATTTGAATAATATATGGGTATATATATATACTTAGGATGATAAAGGACGTGTTTGGATGTGCCTATTCTCCAAGTTATAGAGGGTTTTCCTTCGGGTTCTCGTGGATTTTCCCTCGAATTTTCCCATGAATTTGTTGAATCACTTCTAATTAATGCTCATGCTGAATAAACCCAAGCACGTTTTTTTCTTCTTATTTATTAATACTGAGATTTATACCTACCTCGCTCGACCTACCTACTTCTTAATTATTCCCGATAATTCCATTTGAATTTTGATATCAGGAAGCATTATTGAACAGGGTGTTCGATTGTAGGGAAGCCTAATCCTCCACTCTGAATATATATGGGAATTTGTGAGAAGGTGTGCTACGAGACAATGCATGATTATTACCGAGATTATAACAATCGATTTTAGAGTAGAGTCGGCGATATTATCGAAAACCGTTTTTATTTTTTGAGTCATTTCGGAAAGTATTGAATGAAATATATTAGGCACCTAAATTAAAAATGGTGATGGTGCAGCCAAAAGATTTATTACACCGAACTATAATAACAACCTTAGAGATATATATATATAAACAAAAAAATAATATGTTGAATTATTGAAAAATACCTCGAAAAATACTATGTGTCTGTTGGTCGAAAAATGGTCGCGTGATATGAAATTCCTAAAGCAGCTATACCTATCTGATGTTCACTGATGACAAAATCGGAAATGTATAGATGTATAGTTATCGTTCTCAGCATCGGCACCAAGGTTAGCACCTCGGTTGGCACACAGTTTGTGTGCCCAAAGCTTGCATCCTCACTTGCATCTTACGCTTTGTATCCACTATAATAGATGGAAGAATGGATAGGTATATATATATACACTAAGATAGTTTTAGGAGGGTAGTCTGACTGACCAGTTAAGGTAAAATAATCTAAAGGTAGAAAAAATATCACAATATTTCTTCGTGTTCAAAATTTTGGCCAAATGAGAACTCTTCGTTACAAAGCCGAGCCACAGATTGCCGAGCTTTCGGAAATGTTTATTTCCTTTATCAAGACATCTATAAAAAATGGTATGAAAAAACCAGTGGCATAACTTCATATTTTGGGCCCCCCGCCAAAATCATTTAGGCCCCCCTCGAGACAAACCTTTTCAGTCAGAAGTCCCTTCTTTTCATGAACTATTAGTTATATTGAATAACTAACAAGCTTCACAATAAATATGCTTTATTTTCTTTGGGTGAATAACACAATCATTTTCTTGGAATAACTTGCCCAGCATGACTTTTCTGTGAATAATAAAAATTAGAGAAACTCCTAGGAGTTTCTCTAATAAAAGAGCTCTTTTGGAAAATTTATATCTGGTTCAGATTGGCCATTACGAACAATAAACATTTTTATCGTGTTGCTCAATTCTCGGCCACAGAAATCGCCTTCATCACAAGGAAATGATTCTTTTAACCCTTGATTACTCGCGCTAATTAATTCGAACTTTTTCCCGCGCGGTGTATTTTCTACACCACCATGAATTTGACTTGTTTTTAGGTGAAACAAAAGCGTATGCTTTCCTAACCCCGCACAAGTTTCGACTTATGGGGCGTTGGATCCAGTGCTGGGTCCAACGAGGAAATGCAATTAAAAAAAAACACATAATACACAACTAACGTGTTTGTATACTATTTTGAGTACTTAGATAATTTACCCTATTTCCCACGCAGTGTATTGTATTCTAGGCATCAACGTGACAACGCGTCAAAATTTACGTACAAACACACACACAAAACTGATCTATCACATCCCATACATGTTAGACATAGGTTAGGTTAGGTTAGGTTCGATGGTAGCATAAATTTGGCGCTGGTGTACAAAATACACCAGCGCGAGTAATTAAGGGTTAATCAATACATCCAGTAATGAATCATCTGACTCAGTTCCATCTCCAGGAGTTCTCGCATTCAAGTCAGGTATGGGCTCCTCGTGGATTTCAGATATAATACTTTTTATATTCACACCATCTGTATATACCTACAGTTTCGAATGCAGTAGTAGCAGAAGTCTCGTCATTTGCTAAGTGAAAATTTGATATTTTTGCTATATACCTGTATTTCTCTTCTCCAAACTTTTTTCAATACAAATTGTCACTGACAAGCTAGTGAATTCTTCCTCGAATTTTTCTTTTAGGCTCTGATAGGAAAATTCTTTAAACGCAATGACATTTTGGGGCAAATCATCTGATTTGTCCTTACTACACGTATATTGCAATAATATTCATATTCATATTCTTATTGAATAGAAACGAGGAGAGAACATCCCAAAAAATCTGGCATAAGTTTTTCTTCCATAATAATTGCAGTTAACATCCTTCCTGTTTCAATCATACTGCTACTACTTGATGGACATTCATCATAATATTCAACTGTATTAAGTATCCGAAACAGTATAATAGTATTCGTGAAGAACGTGGTAATCTTGGAAATTTTACACTTCTCATCTTCTAACTTTTGTTTACCTCTTCTTTCTGAAGCACCACTAGTTTTAATCAAGTTCTTTATTTTAAATAATTGGCTTATATCGTTGATTTCACACATCACCCTGGACCTAAACTGAAAAAACATGCCAGCACTATCCGCAAAAATGGAAAAAATATTTCTGTGGCATATTCATAATTAAAAAATATTCATGTCAATTTGGCTGAGTCCTTGCTCTGGTTGGTGGATCCAGGGCCCCCTTCGAGGAACGGCCCCCCGCAACCGCGGGGTTTCGCGGTATAGTAGTTACGCCACTGGAAAAAACACTTGTAGAAAAAACAGGTGACGAATTACTCAAGGTGGATTCATGCAACATCAACTAAATTATAATGAATTTAAGATTTAAACGAATTTTCTTTTTCCTCACCTCGGCATTAACGCCTATTGGTCGATTTCGTTTCCTATAGAGACGCATAAGTTGGTCCCGCTTTGAGGACAGCTATTCTTCATATATGAGTAGTAGATATATGGCGTCTCCCAACACAACCATCTTGGCACATCCAAGGTCAAATATAGTGGCGCCAATTTATGAAATCAACTTCGTAATACTTATCTCGTCAATATTTTGCTACGAGACAAAAAGGATTCTTCAATGAAGGTAGAAATAAGAAAAAGTGGATTTACCTCGGGATTTACTTACAAAGAGAATCAATTAGACATAATAAATATAAAATGTAATAAGTTCCAGAAATATAAATGTTCCGAGAAATGTTCAATATGTCAATAAACTATCGATATCTAGAACAATATCTGTTATGAATAGGTTATCAATACGGAATCCTTAAAATCAGTTTTATTCAAAAGACTACCGATTATATCTTTTTGCTCAAGAGTACTTGGTTTTTTGAATATTGAAGCATCTTTGGTTCTTTTCTTCTAACTAGAAAATAGACGCACTTGCTTGTCTGTTTTTTCATTAGTAGATACCTATTAATGATTTGCTTTGTTTCAAAATGAATATATAGCCTTTCCTTCATTCGTTGTGTCCGAGGTTGTGTATAATTTTATCGCAATTATTCAGAATATATCGATGTTGTTCTTCAGATAGGGACATTGATGCATGTCACATACCTATTATCAATTCACACCTACTTTTTATATCCTCCATTCCAAATATAAAATTATAAAATATACTCAATTGAGAAATATAACTTCGACGACTCCTACGCGCTACGAATACTCTATTCGAAAAAATCAAAATATTTTGCACGACTTGACATAATAATTGACATATCACAAATCATATTCGACCTTGGATGTGCCAAGATGGTTGTGTCGGGATACGTTCATTTTTTATCACTGCTTGAATCACCATTTTCCCCTCACTACTTAAAACCGCTTAAATCTTACGACTTGAAACTCAACTTAAAACTGCTGTATAAATCGACCAATTATGTATGTACCGAGGTATGTACCTACCTCTTTTACTACTTTTTGGCATGAAAATGGATGTGGTAACGTGGCCTGGTGTCAAGAGGGCCCATCTACTTTATGTTTTCAAATGTGAAGAGGGGTCACGTGCGAGGTCACGTGGTTCCGTGGTTCCTGGTTGTGAAGGCTGCCCGATCGATTCTCTATCCAATACTGCTTTCGTTTGTGCGAATCGGCCTTTTCAAACTGACAAGCGTTTGAATTTCACTCGGAAACATGATATAACGTTCGGAATGAATTCCAAAACCGATTTTTTCCTTTCTTTAAGTGAACGGTGAACATGTCGAGCATTTTAGAGCGTTAATTGTTACAAATTTTACTTGAAATTTCGTAGCGGTATTCCTATAAGACTACACAATGCAGCAATGAATGGTATTCACTCTCGCATTCACTACATTAAATGATGACAGCAATATTCATCAAATGTCAAAATATCAACAAATGCCATGGCTACCATGAGAGGGAAAATGAAAAGAAAATGCAAGGAGCAATGAACTGCTTTTTATAATCGATTTTTCATTATAATAAGATGATTATTTCGTTGAAAATGAAATCTTGTATGCACTACCAGCGTTACTAAGATCCCAACGCCCGGAGGGTAAACATTCACCCAAGGGCCTTTGGCCTATTGGTTTATCGATAATATCGATAATATAGATTCATCGATAATATCTCGGATGATATCTATAATATCAATAATATACAGGGTGTTTCACAGGTAAAGGGAAATATT